CAACCCAGTATTGGCTATTTCTACGACAATTAAATCAATATATCAACGTACGTGGGTCCTCAGGCAGATAAACAGTTGTTTAAGGGTATGACAGGAAAACCTCCATTATACCTTATTGATATTATGTACGGGACCTGTTGGGACTTTACATTACATTAATCTGAAACGATATCTTAATAATGTAGTAGGTCCGTGAAATGTGCCTTAGGAAAGAAGAACTATTTCTGTGGTATACATATTACATGAATATATCCTTATTGTATTACAGTAATATCTAATATATTATGTCAACATAATAGAAATGTTATATCACATTATCGTGAACGATAATTGCTACTGGGAATTAATTTCTGGAATTAGGAATTATCTTGGGACTGGTAATATCTGTTAAGACCCAAACAAAGGACTCGTCAATCAATAAGCTTGTATACTGTTACAATCAAATTGGAGCGAGATATTGAATAACACAAGGTAAACAATTATTGATATAATTGACCATTATTATTGTAAGACAAATAAACAAGATGGTTCCCATATAATACTAAGATACTTATCGTATGTGTTGCTAATGACATGATTCATGATCTTGTCTTGATATGGCCCATGTGGCAAAGGCATCGTCATTATGGATGATACGTAGTAGTCAGTATTATCGTTTGCACTACCATAAAGGTCATCTATAGCAGGCAGAGAATGCAGAGTACCTAGGTGTATTAAATACAATGTTCTTTCTACATATGTTTATGTTTACACATAGTCTGCGTGCCACAGTTTGCTACAACTGCGAAATTCTAGTCATAGCCTAAGAGGCATACAATATTGTTGTAAAATAATATGTAATAGTTTTATATTACGCTGATTCGCACAATTGTATGCGTTCGAACCTCCATGGTGGTCGCGAAGTAATTGTTATAATGTACAAAAGGTGTGACGGCCAATTTAAAACTTTATACAACATACTGCCATGTTCTTATGGGTTCTATGACAATAAGTTTGTATCGTTTTATGTCGTCAGTAGATGTCGTTTGACAGAGTTTGTTGTAGTTCAATGTTGTTGTAACTATATGGTTGATCTGATGTTTGGGGACATTTGATACAGATTAGTTAAGTTTATTATTCCGGGGATTGTAAGTGATAGCCTTTACCAAACGTGGTCTGACAGAGCAAGTTACATGCTATACAAATCTGGGCTAACTGTGCGTATGCATCCAAACACTTTTTCCAATAAAAATGTGTTCAGATCGTAAACTGGCCACGGTTTGCCCGTAAACTGCATAAATGTAAACACTAAATAGCGCGCATGGTTGCATACCTCGTTATGCGCGCGCGCAATTTCGTTTTAGTGCTTCCAAAATAGTTCTCTGCGCTGGTTTCCTTACCAAAAAGGTACGCAAGTAACTGACATAAGACAATACTTTTTTCATAAGTGAAACTTGAAATGATATTATAATGGTTAGATATTATGTGTGAGTAGAATGAAATGTTTTCATGAATGCCATATTTTTAGAGCAGTACTAACTGACAGTTCCTGTTCACCTAGAAGTTGCCAGAAAGAGATCGGAGATGGAAGTTAGTGTCTATCGACCAGCATACTGATATTGTACACGGCATTTGTAAAAATAACTTGTAGGTACTTCGCTCCCACCAACTCAGGTAAACATAAGAGGCTCATGACGTGTACTTGCGGTGCTCGCCGTGCCCAAATATAGAGCAAATTCCAGCCTGTTGAGGCGACTATTAACATCACCTCCCCCCTCTGGGCCGTGCGGACTCGAGCTCGGCCCGCATCAAACGCTGCGGCGCCGCTGTGCCGCTGTACCGTCACTACACGGACGTTGCCCCGTACATACTTTCAGCGCGTATGTGCACACAATCATTATATTGTTACAAAGAATTATGCGACTGCACGCCTCGACCAGGGGAGATCCTAGGCACTTCTTATCTTAGCAGTTATCTAGGTCGTCTGTTTTTACAATTAGATTTGTTCCACAATTGCGTCATTCCCTGATAACGATTACGCGCTAGCGCTATTGACTTCATAGACGCTGAATGTTTGACGGGATAAAGGCTTGTTGTACCTAAGCAGTAATATAATATTTACTATGGCAACATTATATTTGAATGTAACAAGCGGTTTAGAACACATTAACCAGCTAGACAATGGGCCTGTGTTCGAACTTCATAGGCAATATTATGTTCGTGCGAAAGCTTTTAGCTACGTTTGCGCCCCAACTGCGTGACACTGCATATTTTAGACACTTGAGAACCGCCTCCCCTGTAATGCATTCGGCTTGCACGTATGTAACGTACGCCTATTTGGTGTGGAACACTGATTTTGCGCAAACCGAAGTCAGGGTAAGGGCTTGTGAGTTTGAGAAGTTTGGAGGAGCGCCACAAGTCAAGTGTCGAACGCTCGTGTCTCGAAACGATAATGTTCTAGTCTAACTTTCTCTATAACTTAATGTGTCAGCGCCGTTTTCTCCCAACCTCCACTTAAAAGCATAGTTAAGCTATTAGCAGACTAGCAGTTATCTGCATTCAAGTTTATTTATTACCTACATTCCTATATAGGTATGATATTATGTAACTAAAACACATTTCAACATTTGCCTCTTCACAAATGAAATGCCACTGCAGCCTGGGAAATGCGGGTGAGGAGCTTATCATATTTCGACACAATACCAGTCTCCGCCAAATTTCACTGAAAACCGAAATGCACGAGTTTTGTGGCTGTACTATTGTTATTATTTAAAGCTTCAAACATTTCCGAGTTTGAAGGCAAACATTTGCATCGCTACATCTTTGAAATAAGCAGACAAATTTGATATATTTTAGTAAGTTGGTCCGGTGTATGGAGTGGGTGTTTATTCGGTTGGCTGACTGTCCGGTGTCCCTCGATATAATGAGCATACTAACAACGCGAACTTCAGTTTTATTATTTTTATGTATTGCGTATCTCCACCTGGCCTTAATGCGTCATGTTATATTTGTACATTGTATTAAAAGAGACGTATACCATATTGTGCTTGTGCCGTTTGTTAAATACAAAGAAATTCATAACGCGGGGAGAGTGGAGTCTTAATTAAAATGAATTCCTGTGAGGAGCGAGTAGCGGCGTAACGAGCCATTTGTGGCTATTAGCAGATAACAATTGGAACGAACACGCGAGTGCAAGTAAGTGTACTGGAGATCAGGAAGCCATTTATTAACGTTTAAGAAAGAAATTCATTGTTTTAAGGAGGCCGCGATACCAAATATTTGCCGTGAGTATCGCTTGAGGTGTGGGTGTCTATAGAAGTTGGTGATGTCAGTACTTCGGTCACGTGTTCGGATATTAAGATGTTCCGCTGTTATTTCCTGTTCCGACGTTCCAGAAATGCGGCAATCTGTCGTTCAGTATCGGCGTGTCTATTTCCGTATGCGGTCCCGAGTCGCTTAGTGCCGGGGTACCTGGGCGTGAAGTCAGCTGCTTGTTCGTTCACCGGTCGCAACAGAGCACAGTTCATGCATGTGATACCACTCACGTATAGCACCTAGCGTTGCACCCAGAAATTAACATTAACGAGCCGCGCTAAACGGTGAGCCAACATGTGTAATAATTTACCTTAAACGGATTTCAATGAGGACGTGAATATATAAACGTACTTTTAAGTATAGTCTGGAATATTATGGAGGTGAAAGTTCGTTAGTATGGCTGTTCCTTTTATCTTTTCACACAAATATGAAATGGAACTGAGAACATGTGTTCTCAGTCAAAAATCATGAAAATGTTATACATAGGTATAACATTTTCATATCAAAAAGTGTGTAAGCTATCAATCTATAATATAAAAATTAATAGCTGAATGTGCTGCTAATAGCAAATCTCGAGAGCAGTTGAACCGATTTCGCGAATTATTTTTTTGTTGTGTTTGTTATTATTAGGAGAAGGTTCTTAAGTTAGAAAAAAATAACCAAGACGTGCAAAAGAATATCAAACGCGAAACAAAATTCATGGGGTTCGCTAGTAATCAATACAGTTTATAAATAATTGCAAATGTTATAATTGTTCCTATACAGGATTGAAGGAAGGATAGAAGGAAATTGAAGGAGAAGGCTTTCAAGGAAACCAAGACAGTTGATGGTAAAAAACGTTCAAGCTTAGGCTGGTGTTGCATGAATAACACGAAAACAAACAGTTAAAACTGTAAAAATTATATCTGTTGGCTGCGTCGTCTGAAGCGTTCCCTACCCTACACGAGTTACTGTCGGCCACTACATGTTAATATAATGTGTGTAAATGTTACGATCATGTTAATTAAAAATTGTGTAGTACCAAACAGAAATTTCAGCTATTAAAATACCTATACAGAAAGAAAAACGTGATAACAGAACTTAAAAATTACAGCATTCAATAGACCTTCTAAATAAATAATAACAAAATTGATGGCAATGTCGCTTATTGAATCATTTGTAATTGCTGTCATGGGAAAACGTTCATTAACAAAACAACAAATAATTCAATGAAATTAAACTACATAATTGCTTTCAAGTCGATAGACAGTCGACTTTCAGTTAAGTATAGAGCTAGGAAAGGCGTCCAGGGACCAGACCTAATTGCAAAATAATACAGTTGGTCCAACACGTGTACCTATACTCACGTACACAACTGTCGGCTTTATACCTTATCAGTACAATAACTAGGTCCAAAGTCGTACCGCAACCCACGAGGGCGAGCAACAAATTATTGATAACGTTATGAACAACCCCTTCTGTGTGTTGAGTGCAAGCCGCTTACAGACTAACGACATTTTGTTATTACGGACAATTTCCCCTGAAATAACGTATTTAAGCCTTGTTGCTTGTGTTCTGAATTAAAACTTAACTAACTTAGGTATGGCATCGATGTACTACAATCACGTGAATCATAAGTAAGTTGAAGCAGGATATGAAAACATCATTTCAGTGCGTTACTTTAAGTGAATTCTCCTTTCATTTAAATACGCTTATATTAATAATAATAATAATAATAATAATAATAATAAGCCCCCTAAACAACCACACGTCCTGATCGACCATCTGATCACGTGGGGGGCGGACACACGATTACGAAGTTACTGGCGTGGCTAACGTGGCTCTGGACACCCATTCAAAATGGAGACACGATCTAAGAAGAAACGTATAGGGCCGCTTCCCGGGGGCGATCGCCGGGGCACACCTGGAGCTGACGCTGGGTGTTTCAGCATGCGATCCGTCAGTGGTGTGGAGTTGAACAGGCGGGCTTCCACCAAAAAACATGTGACAGCCGAAATAAGTGACGACGCTGACCTACAAACAAACAGATCCAACACACCACTGGAGCCATATAGCCCCAGTACCATATCATACACACCATCTAGATCCTCATCACCATCTATACCGTCGTCACCAGTTTCACACACCGTTTCACCTACTCCGGCCTTGAATGTTGCGCGGGGGGCAAACGCCTTTTTGCCCGCGTCCACCAAGGCCGGAAAACCTAGAGTTCGCATGAAGTGGAGTAAAGAAGTAAACATATTCATCATGCGAACTTACTTCTACATAACAAAATTAGAAACTGACATGACCATTTACAGGAAAGTCTTGCACGAACTCTTCTGTCGACAATATCCTGAGGTTAACGTATCTGAACAGCGAATTTCAGACCAAAGAAGAACAATAGTTAGAAATAAACTCTTATCCCAAGAGATTATTGACCAAATAAAAGAAGAAACACGGAAACAACTAGAAGCAGAATCAGAAAATAGTAGTAACACAGACTTGAGTCCACAAAACATACAAACAAATGATCAACAAACACAGCCACTCACCCAGACACAACCTCTCAATATGCAATCACAACCATATAACTACACACAAATAACACACTCATCCACACAAACAGAATCTATTACATTAACTCTGGAAAATGATATCGACACCTTAACCGCAGTAGAACAAGCACCAATTACAGAAGAATACACACAACAATTGTACGACAAGTTCCAAACGACACTCACACAATACTCAGGTATGGATCCCGCATCACGACCAAGGCTACCGAAGCTCCTGTATAATCGTAACCTTTTTCGCTTAGTTAATCTGTTCAATGAAAGTATTCTCGCTCACTTTATCTCAGAAGACAACCAACTTACAGACTTACACACTATTATATATTGTACAGCTTTAGTTATATCGGAAGAACTCAATTTCAAAATAACAGAAAACACAGGAAACAGTAGGCCAAGGATCAGCATCAAGCCACCGTGGCAACAAAGATTAGAAAAAGGTATAGAAAAACTAAGAGCAGATTGTGGTAGACTCACGCAATACATTAATAACAATAGATCAAATAAAGTAGTCAAAAGAGTAGAGGCCATTTTCAAAAATACACGCATACACACTAGACATGAAAATAACAATCGTACACCACACGAATTCTTAGATACATTAAAACAAAAACTAGCATTGAAAGTACACAGGCTTAGAAGATATAAAAAAGCACAACAACGCAGAAATGATAACGCTATATTTGCAAAAAATGAAAAAATATTCTATAGAAAATTAAACACATCACACACCAACATATCAGACAACCAGAGCACGATACCATCTAAAGAACAATTAGAATCATTTTGGGCAGGTATTTGGGAAGAATCTATTAGTCATAATGATAGATCTGCTTGGATAACAGAGGAAGAAACAAAGTGGGCAGGTATAGATGAAATGGAATTTATAGAAATCACAGAATCTGATATTGCAAATGTAACAGGTAGACTACATAATTGGAAATCCCCAGGAATAGATAAAGTACATAACTTTTGGTATAAAAAATTAACTATCCTACATAAACACATAGCTAAAAATTTAACTGAAATAGTCTTAGGAAAGCAAAGAATTCCGGAATTTATAGCGACAGGAATAACGTACATGTTGCCTAAAGCTAAACACTCATCGCAACCTTCACAGTACAGACCTATCACCTGTTTGCCCACTATTTACAAAATACTCACATCAGCTATTACAATTAAAGTCAACGCCCACATAGAACGATATAAAATAATGGCAGAAGAACAGAAGGGATGCAGGCGGGGCCACATGGGGTGCAAGGAACAATTAATTATAGATTCCACTATCCATAAACACGCCACATCAAAAAATAGAAATCTTCATTGCACGTACATTGACTATAAAAAAGCCTTCGACAGTGTTCCACATTCTTGGTTGATTAAAATATTAGAAATTTATAAAATTAATAACAAAATTGTAGATTTTCTTCGCAACATAATGCCTCACTGGAAAACTACTCTTCAAATTAATACTACCAACGATAACGTTGTTACGCGACAAATTAGAATCAAGAAAGGTATCTACCAAGGAGACTCCCTAAGCCCCTTGTGGTTCTGCCTAGCATTGAACCCTCTTTCCCATTTGCTGCAGCGTTGCCATGCTGGGTATTGCCTCAAACATAGTTCCGATGAAACAGTTATTTCACATCTTGTTTATATGGACGATATTAAACTTTATGCTAAATCCGATAAAGATATGAAAACATTAGTAGACATTACAGCAACTTTTAGTAACGATATCAATATGCAATTTGGTTTAGATAAATGCAAGACCCTACACATTGTAAGAGGCAAAATACAACCTGGCAACTATGTAGTAAATGACAGAGATATTATAACTGCAATGGAACAAACCGATTTATACAAGTATTTAGGCTACACACAGCTGAAAGGATTAGATCATATAAAAATAAAAAATTCACTCACCACTGAATACAAAAGAAGATTAAACGCTGTTTGTAAAACACAATTATCTGGTAAACATCTTATTAAAGCTATCAACACTTTCGCTGTTCCTATACTAACTTACTCATTCGGTGTAATAAAATGGACTAAAACAGACACGGAACAACTAGAACGCACAACACGCACTACACTGACTAAACACAATAATTTACACCCTAAATCAGCAATAGAAAGGCTCACCATTAAAAGACAAAATGGGGGAAGAGGCCTCATAGACATCTCTCATCTCTGCCAAAAACAAATCTGTAAACTAAAATCATTCTTCCACTCGAAATCTCAAACAAGCGACATTCATAAAGCCATAGTCTCAAACGACACCAATTATACACCACTAAACCTAAATGAACCAATAGATGTAGAAAACTTTAATGAAACTGACCCACAAAAAGAAAAGCTAGAAAACTGGAAAAGAAAGGTCCTCCATGGTCGACATCCACATGACTTAGAACAAGCCCACGTAAACACAATAGCATCAAATAAGTGGCTGAAAATAGGGAACTTATTTCCAGAAACTGAAGGATTCATTATCGCTATTCAGGATCAAATTATTAATACCAAAAACTATAAAAAATATATTATTAAAGACCCTACAGTAACCGATGATAAATGTCGCAAATGTCACATACAACCTGAAACCATACAACATATAACAGGAGCCTGCACAACACTCACACAAACCGATTACACCCACAGACACAACCAGATAGTAAACGTCATTCATCAAAAACTTGCACTCAAATACACACTCATACAAAACACAAACACACCATATTACAAATACACGCCAGAAACTGTTCTAGAAAACACCACACATAAGCTTTACTACGATCGCGCCATACTCACCGACAGGACAATTCATTATAATAGACCAGACATAACATTACAGGACAAAGTAAATAATATCACCTACTTAATAGACATTGCAGTGCCAAATACCCACAAAATACAAAAAACAATTACCGAAAAGATTACGAAATATGCAGAACTCAAAGATGAAGTGGCTAGAATATGGAAGCAAAATAAAGTTTATGTGGTCCCTATAGTTCTGTCCACCACAGGTGTAATACCAAACCATCTTCTCCATAGTCTCAAATTGTTAGATTTAAAAGAAACATTATACATAACTCTCCAAAAAGCTGCAATCCTAAATACCTGTAGAATCGTCAGAAAGTTCATGCAAATAGAAGACAATGAGATCAACCACCAGACTACACCCACAAACACATAAAACTACTCACCACACCCTGTATTTACTTGGCTTCGGCCCGTAAATATGGATGAAACTAGCTTGATAGCTAAGAAGAAAGTTTACTTTCCGAAAATAATAATAATACCAATTTATTTCAGATAATAAAATCCATAAAATTACATTTAAAACGAATTCAGGTTCAAAATTTTATATATAAATTCAAAATTAAAAATATTGTCTCTATAGTAAGTATCATAATAAATTAAAAATAATAAAAATAATAATCAATTCGTTCATACATCAAATAATCAAAATAATAAATAACACAAACACACAAAGAACATACATAGTCAATAGTCCATTTCAATTGTAAATAGTCAATTAATTATAAGTAGTCAGTTTCAATTATAAATAGTCAATACAATCCCAATATAAGTCAATAATAATAAGATATTAATGATAGTCAATATTAATGATATTAATAACTTAGTCTGTTGCAACTCAATGTATCTCGATAGTGGTACTGCACCAGCGATACCACTAATTTACGCCGAAATAAAAGTTATTCAAGCGGAAATTAGTAACGCAAAAAGCAAATTGTATATCGGATTCCGCTCGAAAACTCTCAAATTTAATTAACGATAAAAAGGGCGCGCTGTCATTCGTATGACTGCATTTTACTCTGTCTGTTCAGAGGCCCATTGGAGTGCAGTAAAATAATAAAAACAATATGCGACGGACGATTGACCGGAGCAAAATTTTAACGAGTATCAGTTCATATGGATCGTGTGTAGCTATGCAGTGTACTATATCGGTACCATACTGTCGTGTAAAGCCAACGTGATGTTATATTGTTTATTAACTTAACACCGTGTTTATTTTATTAGATAACGCCTTTGAACATAGTTATGCTGCAATTTAAAACTAGAGTCACGTGTGTCATTATAATTCGGCTATTGTCTGTGGGCTGCCACGGACCCTAAGTTTCACGAACAATATCATCAGGTACCAATAAGGTATGCACGAAGTTTATCAAACTGCCGGACCATCACGAAATCTATACTTATATGCATATACCTACCAGTTCGCGTGAAGAACAATAGCCCACACACATTGTAATTTCATTAATAATTATAATAAAAACAATAGTAGTGATAACATTTACAACAATATAATTTATTGTATATTGAGCAATTAATAAAAACCTTATACATAATGTGAGCGGTCGGTGCATGCGAGTGTCGGTGGCAGCGAGGCGTGGGGTGGAAGGCGGTAGAGGGAGCAGCGAGGGGTATCGATCGAACCCGGACCACTGCACCACCTGCCACTGCAACTTGGAAAATTCGCTTTTCTCACAATACTGCTCGGACAATATCGATATCGGCCATGCGCCTCACTCAATCTCTTTCTGAGATTACTACGCAATCTAGACCGACGCCCGCCCCCACGATTGTCTCATTTTTTCCATTCAATTATCTCCAGCAACATGATAGGATTCTGTCGAGATTTGTTCTTATACTTTATTAACAAATCTGTTTTAATTTTACGAGAAGAACATTGTAATGGGAAAAGTATTTACATGAATATTCAAAATAGATTACTATAAATATAACAAGGAATAATAAACGTTTACTTTAACCTGAGTCACAATTTGCATAAATGATTTATGCGTGTTCATCCAAGTGTTTGTTTACATCTCAACAAGCAAAGTGAAATAAACGAGTTAGTGTCACGCGTGGGCGACATACTGCCAACTTGCACTGAACCGCATCATGATTGCGATCTTTTTTGCAAACACGTTTTTGCTTTACGAGTTTGCCTTTTGATTCACCCACAAACAGTATCAGCCTCCCTGCACTCACAGTTACGCGAGCACAGTAAACGTGAACATTCGTACGGAGATAATTTACGCGCATTTGATGAAAGGAAACGCTTCACATTCCCGACTATGACACGTAGTTAAATAAAAGTAAGAATACATAGGGCTAACAAACATCGGTGCCATGCACCACAAGGTACATGAACCGCATTTCAATAAGCATGACATATCTATCCATACCTAACCTACATATATTAAACTGCATAACATGAATGTACTGTATTTGTGGTATTAATCATTAATCATGCGAAAACTGCAATTATTAATTGCAGCTACTCAGTGCGTACTATGTATATGTGCTTACATATTTATGATCGCAATCAAATTAAACATTTAATCTTTGAATGGTGAGTGTTGTCAACAGAGCGTGTTTGATACAAGATAGTGTTGCGGGGTATGATTAGGCTGCCGCATCTAACGCAGTGGTCGGTGCGGTGTGACCGACACCTGACCTATAGATGGACCAATTAGACGACAAAGGGATGCGAATAGTGGTTGCCGCTACGCCTATACGACATAGGCTTTAGATAATGGATTATAAACACAAAGGGCTTCATAGAGCGGACGCTGGACACAAGGCAAATCGAGTTGAAGTGGATTCACACTTCATAATTGAATGCTGTTTCTCTTCAGATTTATTATATCTACAATTTTACACGCATATGGTCTGTTGTGCTCAAACCTTTTATAACTTTTGCGCATAATACTTGAAAGAACTTTGTATATGTGTTTCGTATCGTGTAGTATTTGTTGACAAAGTTCTGGGTTATCAAATTTACATATTTCGTAAAAAAATATAGTGTAAGTGTTATTGTATTATGCTGCATACAACCTTGCTCTAGTCGTTGCACCTTAAAATGGTGCGATCGAATTTTAATCCAAGTGACCTATCTCAGTCAAGAAATATTGTATCAGAGTCAATTCAAAGTCAAATCAAGAGAGGTGAAAATTATATACAAATTATACAGAAATAGAACTTAAGTACCTAACGTATAAAGTTGTGAATTTATTGATTATAATTTATTTGTATAAACGTACGTTTGTGTACGTTCGTAAATATTAAATATACCCGTTTAATTATTAATACATTATTTCCATTGATCATCAATTCATCATGGATACTTGTACTCATCCAAACACCCGTTCTATTTATAATTGAATCGTTAACTATCCGAGGAGTTACCTCAAATATAGTTATCACGGGTTCGTATGCAGCGTGCACAAAAGTTTCTCTGCGAATAATCGCGGCGCTGACACTCTGACGGTTTCAATTTCCATCTAATTTATTAGCCACGTCTTGCTGAGATTATGCAGGGTATTTTAGGACTTGAAAATGTTTTTACGAGGGGAAAAATCAATCTTTACCGTGAACCGTCTCCGTAGACTCCAGCTTCGTCTACCTCACTACTTTCCTATTTGCTCTTTTTGCCTGTAAGGCTTCTTATTACCGTGAGATGAAACTCAAGTCTTTACGTAACATTTTAAAATTGAAAAAGCTTCTTTTCGTAAAGTCTAAGACTCTTCGGAAGAAGCCTGTCGTTGTACACAGTAAGCCTTATTTTTACAGGTAATGACAGGAATATACTTGAACAAGGTACAAGAAAAGACGACAAAAATTATGACAATAAATTATATAAAATAAAAAAGTCAGTAATTACATAGGTAGATTCTATTTAAAAACTTTAGAGAGTTCAGAATGTGATTTTACGTTTATTATTCACGTGGCAACAACGAGGTGGAGGGAGGTGGTCGCAGGAGAAGGAGCGTGGAGCGTGGTGCGAGGAGGTGGCGGCCAAGACCTTCAACTGGCGGTGCTATTGACCTGCAAATGGATTTTGTAACGTCATGTGAACGTAATCCACGTTTTGGCGTGTACTCACACCAATGCACAATAATTTCCTATCCATAGCGAGTATCACACCTCGGTACATTCTAGTCGCCCGTCAGCAAGGGTATCTGCGCATATTGTTCAATTGGTTTATCCTGGTCAGTTGGCCATTAAGTGAATTCACATCCTGCGTCACAGAGCAAATCTTACCAATTGAATGTTATATAACAATCGCTAAAGAGAATCGAGGTCAAATAAGTGGTTTCAATTTATTGCAACTGCGAATCGGTGGGAACCGAGGAGCTGTGCGCCGGCTTGCTGCAACTGTTCGCTCTCTCACCAGAGTCGAGTGCGGCGACGAACACAATGTAAGACAGGACAATGGTGCAAATTTGGTGGCATCGTTCCTTCCGGCAATGCGCACAAGGTCTGGGTTGATCGGGTCGACGTCCTGCGCCCCGCGCCGTGGCCGCCACCCCCGCCCCGCCAGCTGTCTCCGCCCGTTTATATTTAGACCGGATGGCGGAGTTCTCACTGAAACAGATTCTCCCTTCTGTTTGCATAACGCACCAAATCGTGTGACGGACTGACTCTTTTATTGTAAGACAATGATGGCCACCAAGTGCGAGTCCTCAATTTAGCTTGACTTGTTTGCATCTTATTAGTCAAAATTAAAGTCGATTGTTGTATCAACATCGTATTCACAGAATATGAATAGGAAAACCAAACCACTAAATTAGGAATTCTCGACCTCAAGTGAGTAGGGTCCGGGATTCACGACTGCCATGATACAATGCAACACACATACGGCCATGGACGTAAAGTTTACTAACTTAGTAAATCAAATGGACGATCGATCCCAAAAAGGGCAATGTACCGTTAGCCGACTAATGCAGTGAGATGCAAACGGCTGTGCGCTTGCACAGTTAAGCACACAACGACGCATGACATATCGGCGCGATTCTCACCACTAATACCAAGCATTATAGAAAGTAAATACGTCTCGACAGTAATGACTATGTTAATTTCGGCACTCATGCGTGTTAGTCGGCCTAAACGATACTTGAAAAAACAAAACCGAGAGCAAACAGATCCATATGACGAAATAGCGTCTTGTTGAATATGGAGGAAGATTCACTTAGAGGCTGCAGCACTTGTAGTAATGTTAAACATAGTATATTTTAATTCATGGTAGAGAATGTTGTCTAGTCCAGTACGGGTAATTATTGTCAAGGAGAATTTATGTATTCATTGCTTTATTATTAGGTCTGTTGACATCATACGCGTACTGTGTTTATTACGCTAACAAGATGCCGCTGGACATAATTACGATCTAACATATCCACTACATTTGCGCTACATGCTATACGTTGGTATCCGATTTCTAACAAGTCGAACAATTATTAGTGTAAAATGTATGAGCGCTTTCTA